AAAGCAATATTGAAAGCTCAAGAGAGTGTGCGAAAAAACAAATTTGTTTGTCGTTCAAAGCATTCGCATCAAGTGAATTTGATAGTGCTTGCATACCCATTGACAGTGTGGTAGATGGGGTATATTGGTTGTCTGGTAAATGGCTTGGCATAAGTATATATGTATATGACTTTAAATATATACTAATTGAATATGCAATATATTGTATTTCACTTAAGTTCTTAGCTGCATCATTATATGCAGGGTATCTGTACGTCATGCACACTCTGAGCTCAAGCACTCCTACTATGACATGAGCCAAAGGACAGCAAGAACTTCCTCGCCTTAGCTCACTTATTTCTATACCATACGCAGTATGTGCTACAGGGTATCCACACGTCAGATACTTTCATACGTGTGTTTTTTTATATATTTTTTTTACTTTTGTAAATTATTCAAAAAGTTGCTGACACTTCCGTTTTTGTTTTCAGTATTTTTTTGTTGTTCTTTGTGATGCACAAAGCAGGCTCGACTGCAACGGGCCCCAAATGGTGGCCCGGCTTTAAATCGTGTGGGCGTAGACACGCCCACAGCCGCACTCACCCACGCTCACACACACGCGTGCGCGCTGTCCGCTTGGCTTGATTAGATTGTCACCCAGTTGACGGATGCATATATATGTGTGTGTGTGTGTCGGTGTGTGTGTGTCTGCAAGTTTGGTGTTGGCATTTGGCAAATGCAATCAAGATCAGTCTGCCCTGCAAAAGTGTGGGCGTGGCAGGCCCCCGACCCTCTCCTGTTGGGGTTTTGGACTGCAGTTTTTGGGTTCGGTTACGGTTTTGGGTTTTTGGCACGCCTCGCGATGCAATGACAAAATTGAAACTGTCGCCACGCCCCCACCTCTGGCCCACAATTCTAGGGCACGGTCCAAACTGCCCCCTCCCTCCGCGCACCAACCTCATCCAAATAAATTCAACGATTTGCTGGTGCGTAAATCTGCAACCAAAGCAGCGCCGCTTAACAACAACAACAACAACAACAGCAACAACAACAAGAGCAGCGAGAAAAGTCCTTGCTTTAGAGTCCTGGGCCCGCCGCGTCCTCAGCAGCTGTTCGTGTGCTAGCTCAAAGGATTTGTGCGGGATTTTGGGCCATAACGACAAAAACGAAGCACAGCCAAAAACAAAAGCGAACTTTGAAATTAAATTTAACCCGCGGCTCTAACAATACATATATATATATATATATATATCTAGATATATATAGCAGCTGAGAGTCAAAGACACAGTTGCAGCTCGAGCGTGTGCCTGCTGCTGTCTAAGCGTTTCTCATTTTCATTTTTTTTTTTATTTTCGCTTTCTTCCTTTTCATCGAGTTTTTCAATTTGAAAATGGCAAACATCTCGTCGGTCGCGCGTGCATTATTGAAAAAGTGCCAAATTGATTTGTGAAATTGGTAATTTAACATAATATCAAAACCGTACACACATATGCACACACACACACACAATCAAGCAATGCAGCAGCATTAGAGATGCTTCAGTGATTGGCATGAAAATGTGAAATGTGATGTCATCAAAGGCTAAACAGGTTTTCTTTTAGCTTTTAGCAAGAAATTTTCAAATTTTAAATAAATAAATTGGAAGAAATTATTATGGGAAAAATATCAAAATATCAAAATACAGCTATAATCAAATACATATATAGTAATAAATAAAATAAATACAAAATTGATAACCATACAATATACGAAATAAATTAATTAAAAATAAATAATATAAATAATAAAAAATAATAAAAATAAATAATATAAAAATAAATAATATATAAAAAAATACAAATTTAAAAAAAAATTAAAAAGAATAAATAAAAAAAATAAATTAAAGTAACATAAAAATTATTCAATTGAATATATAAAATAAAGTATTTAACATATATAATAAAACAAATAAATTATATAATTACATAAATAAATAATAATAATAAAAAATAAGAAATTAAAATTTAAGTTAAAAAAAATCCCATAATTAAAATGAAATGAATATATTTTGTTTTCAATTATTGAGCATTTAATTTATTTTTTAGAGCTGCATTAATTCCAATTGCTTTATGTTAAATATTTAATTTTTATGTTTGTATGTTTTTTATATTTAAAACTTAATCTCCTTTAAAAACTTTCACAGTTCGCTTTTGACTCTGTTTCGCAACTATAAAAGCTTCAATATAAGTTCCTTCGCTTTTTTCCAATCAGAAAAAAAATCGCATAGATTTATTTGGAATCTTTAGCAATTGCACACAAAGGCCGCTTTCTCTCTTTCTCTCTCTCTCTCTCTCTCTTCATCAGTTGTTCTCTCTCTGTCTGTGTGTGTGTGTAAACTAATCACAGTTTAGAGAATATCACTTGCCCTAACAAATCACCTTAAAAAGTTTCGGATAACACACACACACAGTAGCATATATACATATGTGTGCTTATATGTATCTATATACATATATGTATGTATGTAGGTGTCTGTATATCCATTCATACATCAGTTGTCTCATCACTAATCCCGCACACCTGCAAACGCTTTCATGAGTTGAAATTTTTGGCTGCTGCCCGCTGCTCTCTTTCTCTCTCTTCCCTCTCTATGCTCTCTTGCATCAATTTCACATGTGTGGCGTGTATGTGTGTGTGTGCGTGTGTGAGTGTTCCAGGGTGTTGGTCTGTCTGCCGATTTCGATTCTGATTCCGATCCGAATCGAGTGATAGATGTACACAATTTTGCCCATTTGCATACGCAACTAAAGCGTAGCGTAAAGCAGTAGCAGAGGCGCAGGCAGCGGCAGAGGCAGTGACGCAAGCAGAGACTGCAGCATAGCCAACGAGGCAGGAAGAAAGAGGGACTGAGATGCTGAAGGGGAAGTGAGAGCATAAGGGAGGCGTAACGGGAGACGTAGCGGCAGCATTGGAAGATAAGTTGAAACCAGCAAAATGATTTTCATTTCAATTATTTATTGATTGATTTGCAATTTGTAACCGACCAAAAAGCTGCACACCTGCACACGCATACATGTGTATGTGAGTGTGTGTGTGTGTATGTGTGTACATATCAATCGACTTACCGTAGATTGATGGACTGGGGTAATGCACAGTAAAATGCTAGTGGGCGTGTGTGTGTGTCTGATTATATATACATATGTGTGTGTGTGTGTGTGTGCGTGCAGCTGTGTGTTTGCGGCGTTGCGCATATTTAATTGAAAATGTTACCGCATTTATGAAATTGTCAATATGCAATACAAATACACACAAACATATGCACACGCGCACGACCACACATATACCGCACACTCAATCCTCACGCTCACACACACACACACACACAAGCACGCACACTTATGCATGCAGGTGTTGACGACACACATCTGACATATTTACATACAATTAGTTTGCCAAATGTAAACTCAACACACACGAACTCGCATACAAATATACATACAAACACTTAGCATACACACCTACACGCCCATGCACACATACATACATATGTACATATATCTACCGCAAAACTTTTTACAAAGTTTAATGCGAGTAATAATAAAAAAAAAAAAGGAAAACAAATTGAAAATCGCTGCAACAAACTTTTATCGTTGGAACTGAAACAACATTTTTCAAATTCATAAATAGAATATGCATTTTGCATAGATTTCCATTTCTTTCAATTAGCATGTTAAATAATCACATTGAATTCTATAGCACATATAGAAAAGCCAAATTGATATAACAAAAAAAATACAAAATAGAAAATAATTCGGATTTCTTTTAAATATTTCAGTAAAATTTTTATACCACAGATATTTTATAGCATAGAAATTGACTTTAAAATATTGAAAATATGTATTCTTTCGAAACAAATAGTCTTTAAAAAAAAAGTTTTTATTAAAGATTGCTTAGAGTTTAAAATGTAATTCAATATCACATGAAATTGTGGTTTGATTACATACATATGTATGTATGTTTGTAGGTTTATATGCATTAGGCTTCAAACTGTAAGAGCTTTTGTAAAATGAGCGTAGTCTTGTGGAACTTAATGTACACAAACTCATATGTTCAGCTTTCTTAGTGTGAGTGCAAAGGGGCACTCTTTGCTGTTTTAAGCACTCTTTTTGTTATGCAAAAGTAAAAGGAGAAACGCATACATAAATAGAATTCACCAATGAGCGTGCATATGAAATAGAGAGCAGTTTGGATCGAACACTGTTGTGGAAGATAAGCTGAGTACAGAGTTGGCAGCTAAGATGAGAGTGCAATCGTGAGTTGTCAGTAATGAAATGACACAACAAAGACAACAGAGCATGAGCAAATGTGAGTGAGCTGCTCAGATAATGTGAGCATGGAAATACTCTCTGATATGGTAATTTATACCTGTTTTATTGTGAGTGCTAATTAGAGGATAGCTTATTTTTTGTTTAATAATAAATTAAATTTTATTTAATGCAATTAGCTTGTGTTTTTCTAAGAGTAAATTAGTAGTCATAGTCAGCAAATAAATAAAGTACTCCCTACATTCACACATAAATATATTTTTTACGCTCAATTAAATTTTTACACTATACTAATATAACTACCATTTTATAGTTATTGGCCAAATAAACAAAGCTGAGCAGCAGGGCAATAATATTTAAAATACCATTAACAGCAGACAAGTGAGCAATAGAAACAAACATACGAAAATAGTTGTGCATTCTTTCTACATGAGAGAGTGGACTCTGTTAGTGCATTGAGATTTGTGGACAGGCTGCAGGCTTAACAGTGAGCGGGAGGGCCAACTCCTCCGTTATTTTACTTCAGCATTCTTTCTATGTATGTAAATTGACTTCATTGGTTATGCTGCTGTTGATTCTTTTTGCCTGCTTAGCGCAGATGTTCTTCATAATTTGCTCCATTTAGTTTACCAACTTCTGATTTACTTATCGGTTCTGCTCTTGGATGACAGAGGAACATTACTAACAATTTAAATAAATTTATTATTAACATTCATTATATTATTTCGATGTAAAATTACATTCTCATATAGATGCGCGCCTCGGGCCAAATCAACTCCATGGCATGACGGGAGGTGAGAAGCGTGCAGAGCGTTCGAACGGCAGCATTGTTGCTGCCCTGCAGCGATTGAATCTTTGGCCAAATGTTGCACTGCCACATGACGTGCAGCAGACACAGCTTCCTATGGCAATGCTTCTCGCCCAGCAGAAAGAGCACGACGAGTATGTTGCGCAGCAGCTGCACCGGCAGCTCCAGGCGCACCAGCTCGCAGATGGCATGCAGAGCGCCGCAGTCGATAAAATAATCCAAGTAGCAGCGGCAGAGACGCAAAGCGAGACTGACCAGAGTCCAGCCGGCGGTCAGACGCACTGCAGCATCCTTTTCGTGCTTGCTGGCGCAGTACACGATCTTCTTGATCAAGCCCAGCTCCACGAAATGCTCCAGCTTGATGCACCTGTTGTCGATAATGCCGCCCAGCAGCTGCAGCACGAGCAAGCGTATCTCTGGCTTCCCACCCAGCACCAGGCCGTGAACGTGCAGCAGAATGCTCTTGGGAAAACGAAACAGTGTCTGACGTCGCCGGTACTCCAGGCACACATTGGCCACCACAAAGAGCGCCTCTCGCTGGATCTCCGGCAACGGACTTAGCACAAAACGTATAACGCGACCCAACAGCTTCGTTTTGACCACGGCCGGCACCATGGTCGAGTGGTACTCGGAGATGAGGCGAGCCATCCGCAGCGCTGGCACCAGCAGCTCCACGTCCTGTGAGCGATGCAGCAGTACGGGCAGCGCGGCGGCAATCTCCCGTATGGCCGTCGATGTGGGTCCCGGCACCTTGTAGCGCAACACCTGGTAGAGCAGCCAGAGCACCTGTCCCTTGTCGCACTGCTGCACCGGCTGCTGGCCCCGCGGCCGTTGCGTCAGTATCTGCAGCAGCTCGGCGAGCAGACCCGACTCGACGACAGCGTCCCGCATGCGCCAGCCGGAGACGAGGATGTTGCTCAACAGCGCCAGGCAGCAGCTCTTGATGGTGCCACGCAATTTGGGAATCTGCAGCATTTCGCGCATCAGCGCAAGCAAATCGGTGGTCAGCACCAGACGCCTCAGATCGACCTTGGTGCAGTGCGTCGTCATCTCGTGCAGCACTCGCAGCGCCTTCACGCATTGCCGCGGCGAACGCTGCGGTCCCGGCTCACGCAAATAGGCCAGCAATCCGGATATCAGGCAGCCGCGCCAGCTCACCTCCATGTTGGAGAGCAGCCAGTGAGCGTAATCCTTGGCCGATTCCAGCTGATTGTCCATGTACTCAAAGTTACCCAACTTTTCGCAAACAAAATTTAACTCATCTGTAGACATGATTTAAGCTCGAGTTCCGGGCTCGATTCCTTCCGAATTAACGATTGTCTTTAGCAACTTGTAGAATTTCAATATTGTGTTATTTGGTTTCTATCTGTATTTGAAATGAGAATTATTTACCTACGACTGCTCTCTAGAGCTATTTAGATCTTTGTATGATATTTTTTTAGAGCCTAAGGTAGCAAAGTTTACCTTGGCATTTGACACATGGATTTCATGGCATGCCCAGAAAGGGGTATGTAATATTAAAATATCGAGAAGGTAGAGTACCTAGAGGACATAAAGTACGTGGAGCACATATAATTCAAGATAAACTTAGGATACCTAAATATATCAATATAACATATACATACATACATATATACAGGAAGTTATCTTGGGTTATCTTGAGTTATCTTGGTATAGGTATTGAATATATTGAATACATCGAATACCTTGAATACTCACATACCAACATACATACATATGTATTAACCCACTTCCCTTGTGCCCACCCTCCCATGTTCTTGTCAACATTTGACAGGCAGATCAATAGTAAATTAAATGGGCAGGATTTGACCATTGAGTGTGGACTGTGTGGATTGTAGGAGCTGTCCAACTATTAGTGGAACATCTTATTTCCATTTGTGTTATAGGCAGATGTGTGCGTATACATACCCTTAACTATTGTAATATTTAATATATGTAACCTAAAATAATATTCCATTTTATAATCTAAATTTTCTTTCATATCACATTATGCGCTATATCGTTAGATTGTACTTAAAATTTTTTACTACATTTACATACCGTTAAGAGCTATGTATATAAGAACTTATTGATTGAATAGTTCTTTAATCCGTCAATAATTACTTGGGCAAAAGTTTGTCTGAGATCTAATTTCTATTTCATTTGGGAGGTGAGGTCAACTCTGGGCTGTTGGCATCGATACAGTTGCCACAATAAGTTGTGGGCCACAAAAACGAAACTCTAGCTTCTGACCTTCATTTGTAGGCATAGTACGAACTATCGGCACTTGAAAGTTTTCCTTTCTTATATAAATATGTGTGTGTGGGTGTGTGTGTGTGTACTACTTAAGGTTCCATTGCGCTATTCCCACTCCATCAAATTGCTTTACTTAATTGCCTTGACTACTTGCTTTTCCGTTTCACTTTGGTTGCCTTTTCATCTGCTGCTGCCGCTGCTGCTCATTCTTCTCCTCCCCCTCCCCTTTCTGCTCTTCCTTCACAAATCTCAGCTGTTGAGCTGTCCAGAAGGAAAGCTGCTCCGGACTTTTTCTCCCTCGCCTCATTTATCCATCTCTCTGTCTCTCTCTCTCTCTCTCTCTCTCTCTCTCTCCCTCTCTTTTGCTCTTATTAAATTTACAATTGCATGGATTATGTCAGACTGTGAAGCGGCGTTAAGGAGCTCAGCTGTGGCTCAATGTAGCCACTAGACTTCGATTTTTGCTGTCAGCCAGACGAGATGAGACGGGCCAGGCCAGGCCGGGCCGAGCCGAGCAGGAAGCGTGGCTCCTTCAACAGCCACACAGATTTCCTAAAGAGCTTTAAATGCCAATCAAGCGGCTCTGATTGCAAAATTCTCTGTACATCTATATTGGAATAGATTTCTGTGTGTGTGGGCGTGTGTGTGTGTGGAATTGTGGCTGTGTGTGCGTGTGTGTGTGTGTGGGTTGCATTTAGGTCGACACTAAAGTCCAGCTGATAATTAATAAATTTCTGGCGTGGTCTTAAGGCGATTCTCTCTTCGGCATTTATTTATTTATGTTTGACATATTTACGAGTTTCATTGAACAGATACCCTATACATAAGAGATAAAAGAGTGCTTGAGCAGAATAACCATTAAACACTTTGCACTAAACTATGAAAGCTTATCGAATTCAAGATATTGGAGCAATTGGAAATTCCATGACAGGGAGATACCCTAAATATACTAGAAAATTTATATATATAAACAAAAATTGATTTGCGTAACGAAAACTACAAAGGAAAATATAAAAATTGCAAAATCATATTTTATCATTGATTTTTCCATATTGTTAGGATATCTTCGAGTAGAATTAGTAAAGTTGTTACATATGTGAAATAATTAATGAACTTTTAATAAGTTTGGATAATAGAAAATTTAAATAAATTAAAGATATCCTCAAGTCGCATTGTTTGTGAGCGAGAAAATTGATGAAATTGAAAGGAATAGATAAGACTACGAAGATTAATTACAATAGGGAATTGTAACAAATAATTTTCGATTTATAAATATATACAAATATATTTTCTCAATATGTAAGGAATTAATAGGTTAAAGGTTATTTTAAAGTCAACTAGGAAGTGAAAGGCAAATATAAAAT